GGGGAGGGAGAGCCGCGAGTGCGGCCCGCCAGTGCCAGCTGCTGCCCAGCCCTGGAGGGCGTGGGGACCCGGGGGCGGTGAAATAGCCGCTGTAGGTCCGCCTCTTTCATTGATGAAATTTAAGTTCGTGTGATTTTACCTTTCCTGGGAGTCTCCAGTTGGACCTCATTTGTGTCAGGAGCGCAGTGTAGGCAGGAGTTAGCAGACTCAGTCGCACCAAGTTTCTGTCTTTGGAAGTGGAGGAGGTTTTCCTTTTTCTTTTCTTTTTCTCTTTTTTTTCTTTTTCTTTTTTGGAAGCAGTTTTCATCGCTTTGAATAAATACTCGCTTAAGTGGCTAAACATAGGAAGAGGAGAAAGAGCACGTCGGTTGTTAAAGCAGGGGAGGAAATCACTACCTGATAGCGTGACTTCTCTAGAGATTAACATATATATATATAAACCAGAGTATTTTAAGAAAACCCTAAAATGTCGAGATTTGTACAAGGTAAGACACGCTTCTTATCTCCTGGGTTGCTTCAGCTGAATTTGGGTACCGGCACTCGAGAGGGTTGGTGGGTAGTTTGGAAGTGGAAATGCTCTTTTAAGGGTTTCTATTTGCGAAACCCTTTTCGTTAAATTGACAATTGAGCTTCTTCCTTGAGCTGCTGGGCTGGCCTTTCAGATACGTGTAATGTATACCCTTGTGCTCTGCTGGGTTTAGTTCTCACTCCCTGAAATCAGGCTAGTAAGTAGCACTCTGACTCCTAGAGATAGTGGCTGTAAATGATGATAAAACAGGATTTGGGCTGCTGATTAATCTGTTTTCTTTTCCTGCGTGCGTGCGTGCGCGCGGACAAAATGGGGAACTGGGAGTGCTGAGGAAGGCAGGTGGGTTTTGCCAGGACTGTTGGGGGAAGCTTTAGTGTTCTCAGCTCCTACTCCGTTTGTGTACTTGGTTTGAGTCTCAGATTCATTTATTGCGAAACCCAGAGCAGCTCATAGAAGCTGGAGGTCATTTCACCAGAAATGACTTTGCTGCATTGCTGTGTTTATTTTTTTTTTCCCTTCTTTAAAATCTGCAAAGATTATTAAGGTTTCTTCCTTTGAAATTTGAAAATTACCCTCTAAATTCTACATGTATATTCAGAAGGGGTAAGGGAATTACTCTCAACTGATTTAAGCAGTAACATTGCGTGTATGGGTGTGTACCTTGTACACTTTGAAACTGGTGCTATCTTAAACCTCTGTCACCAGTTTATAGCATAGAATTTGCCTTCTGGTATGCAAGTAAACCCTTTTCTTGCAGACCCCAGTGTGTGAAAGCTTCAGCCATCTTGTTGAACACACAGCTAGTAAAAGTTCACAACCACTTAATGCGACTCTTAATAAATGTAGATATACTTAAAAAAAATTGTGTCAGTAGTGGCCCTCATTTGACCCAGGGAATAAAAATGCCCTAGTGAATTTTACATCACTTTATTAGCTCTTCTTTGAGTTTTGTATAAAAACGAGAATTTGATGGCCTGCCTTATTATGGAAACAGAGGGGGACGCATGCCTCGCTCAGAAATGTCACTTATTAGACTTTCAAATTCATGTTATACCTTTATATGTGGTGAGGAATGCTTTGTACATACTTATTGAATAAATGTCTTAGTCAAAAATAGCAAGGCAGAAGTAAGTGTTAGAAATTTGCTGGTTTTGTAATAGCAACAACAAAATTTAATTCCCAGAAAACCAGTATTTTGCAAGAATATGCTAGGTAAAAGTGGACAAGTCACTTCTCTTTAAAAGCTAACAATACTAAACTCCAGCTGTTCCTTGTCATTGTGCTTTAGAATAGCTGGCAAAGATGGTGCACCTTGCCTGATTTCACAGCCTTTACTGTTAATGGCTGTCTTCAGGAGATTCTAAATCAAGTGGAAATACCTAAGAGTGGCTGTGACTGTTGTCATCTACTTTTTAAAAAAATAAGCTTTTATCTTGGAATACTTTTAAATTTATAGGAAAGTGGCACATTTGTCAAAACTAAGACGTTATCATAGGTACATTACTATTAACTAAGTTAGACTTATTCAGACTACTGTTCCTTGACTCAGTCCAGCACTGCATTAATTGCAATACACTTTTGCTTTAAGTGGTAGTTTTCCTTTTAAATTGGCAGTTTTGCACAGAGATGATATCCCCCCAAATTAACATGATTGTGTTCCTGTTTATCGTTGTTTAAATTTTGTACTTCAAGTGTAAACTCTTTACATGTTTAATTAACTCTGTTGCTCCTATAAATGATAAACCTAATTGGCTAATGACTTGGCTGTCTCCACAGATCAGTTTTCAATGGTAAGGACAGGGATTTTTGTTTTTGAATTTTTTTTGTAGTAGATCAAAGTTTTGATCTTTGTTGTAGCACTTATTGATATTACCACTCATTGATACTTAGGTTGTGCCACTTATAGGGGAAAGATTGAACAACTATTAGGCTCCTGTTTTCATACATTGTCTCATTTAAGCTTTACAAGAGCCTTGCAAGGTAGCAGATTATTTCCATGACCTTACAGCTGAGGAAATTAAGTATGTTGTCCAAAATTCACAGCTAGTAAGCATTGAAATTCATACGTGTAGATGTGTCTAAAATCTTTGTCCTTTCCAATACTTTTTGCCTCTTACATTAAACACTTATCTAATGGCCTGTTTCTCCAACTAGACTGTCAGTTACCTCTGGGCAAAGATAGTATCATATCCCTGGGGGAAATAGAGTATCCTGAAGTGGTTGATGCTCTAAAAGAATGTCGTGGATGATAAATGAGAGACTCAGCACTTTCTATGTACTTTTTAGTAGGTTAGCCTACATTTTTGGTTGTAGTTTTGTGTGTGTTTTTAATAACACCTCTCAAGATTACATAAATGTTGAGAAAGATAAAAGGGTATGGACTTAGGTTTGAACCCTTTTGCTAAGAGGTGACCTTACACAGCTTTTCTGAACCTCATTTTCTACTTATATAAAAACTGAGTATTACTGCTTATGCCACATGTTTATTGAGAAATAAGATGAATTATGTGAATTTACTAGCCACATACTAGATGGCCAAAAATTTTTACCTTTTTTTCTTAAAATGACAGTGGTCTTTCAGATAGCATGGTCTCCATAAGGATAACCACATGTCATTAACAGAAATAAATAGAAACAAGGCAGGTGTGACAGATCTTTATTTTCCTCTTGCAGGCCCCCAACACATGGGAATTGATATGTTTAACAACAACAACAAAAGAAGTGTGGGGTATGGGGGAGGAGCTTTACAGTGATATAAATACATAGTTGGTGACAGTTTTTGTTTCAGTCCAGTCAACAACAAAATTTTTGAGTGCTTACAAAGTGCATTATACTGTATTGGGATTTCCCATGTATTCCTTATGGTGGAAACTTGAAACTCAGATGTGTTGTATACATCTGTTTTTTAATTTCCTGAAAATTGGGGCTGCTACACTTGGCTTGAATCTCTTCCCCCAAATCTAGGCAGTGTGCTTTTTATAGGAAAGCTGGGCGTCTCCATTCTCAAGTGCTTTAACCATGTTATGAGGTAAAAGTGTTCAATTAATAAAACTACTTAATGTCGATAGACAGGAGATAGATATTAAGACTGACTACTTAATGTCAGTATGTATTCCTTGACCAAAAGAAGGTTCAGTTTTCTTCGGGCATCTCCCAAGTCTATGTTCTTCGGGCACTTAAGATTCCTTTTCATAGGAAGACCCTTCTTTACTGGTTCTAGGGCATAATACCCTAGTTTGGTGTATTCTGCCCTCAGGTTACCTTCTGCTTGCCTGTAATATTACTTCTCAATTTGTTAGTTTTCTCCCCTTGCCGGGGGTTGTTTCAGGGCCCTCAAGTATCATAAATAAATATAAGTGCAAGCTGAGTGAGAAG